GGAATTGGCAAGGAAACTGTGGGTTACAATCCCAGCTCAGCTCTGCTATTGGCCAGCTGTGTGACCTTGGACAAAGCAATCTCTCTCTCTCTCTTTTTAAAGATCTGTTTATTTATTTGAAAAGCAGAGAGAGAGGGAGGGAGGGAGAGGGAAAGAGATATATTCCTTTCGCTGGTTTTGTCCAACATGGCCACAACTGCCAGTGCTGAGCCAGGCTGAAGCCAGGGTCCCAGGTACTTGGGCCATCTCCTGCTGCTTTCCCAGCCATGTTAGCAGGGAGCTTCTTCAGCAGTGGAGCAGCCTGGACTCCGCTGTGGATATTGGTGTCTGTCATATGCGGGGACACCTGTAGCAGCACCCAATGACAGACCCAGCAAAATCCTTTCCCAGCCTTAGTTTCCTCATCTGTGCAGTGGAGGCTGGAGCCTTGCTCTTTTAGGACTGTGGGAATCAGATGGGGTCAGGCAAGGACGGTAACTGTGGGAGGAGCTCATACTGGGAGAGAACTGGGAGAACTGGGAGAGGCAGGGGAGTGGGCTGGGCTGGTGCTAGCAGACATCCCCCACTCCACCTGCAGCCAGGTGGTCTTGGAGGAACAATTGTTTCCCTTCCTCTCCTCAGACTCTCACTTGGGCTGTTCGCACAGACTGTGCAAGGGAGGCCTTGTTTTGCTGAGAGTTAGCCCCCCTAGGGTGTGTCTCAGGGCTGTTTTGTATCTTCTTTGACCACTAAGAGCAGCCTGCCTTCTGTACCTGTCTGGCCTCTTTCTTCTGGCTTCTACCTAGTTGGAAGAGGACTCCTTGTCTTGGGAAACCAGTGACTCAGGCTCCTCCCACAGTCTGTCTCTGGTGTCCTGGGCAAGGATAGGAGTGTCTGCTACAGAGTGAAGTGTCAGGGAGCCTACAGCTTCTCTCTGTCTGCTGGTCCCTTGCTACCTTCTGGGTGCTAATTTTCTTGGCTTGGGGATCCCTTGTAGGGGGGTGGTGGGTGAGGCCAGCACAGCTGGAATTCAGCTGCTGGTGGATACTAGACTTGTGAATCCCAAGCCAGGGACCTCTCCTGCCCCTGGAGTCCAGCGTGGGTAGGGCTGGACTTTGCCCAGGTGGAACAGTGCCCTGGGTGGGAAGTAGTGCCTAAAGGTGTGCAGGCTCGGGGGTGCTGGTCCCCTATGAGTGACTTTCTAAAGGGGGTGCATCCTTTGCAGGCACCAGAACCTACTACTGTGGCTGTTCAAAAGTGTGCCCCTACCCCTCCCCTGCTTCCTTCCCTTTACATTGCAGACATGCCTGTTGGTCTGTGCTTGTTGGTGCACGGATGCGCACACATGCATCCTGGAGGTACATCTATGTGTACCCCGAGTATGCAGATGGGTGTGCCTGCATCTTGCTGTGCAGACAAGTACCTCAATCCATGTGCTGGCAGGTGCAGAGAGCATCATCCCACACAAGAGACCTATAGCTGTGTGCATTAACATTTGGGTCTTTGTGTACATAAGTCTTTCCTCCTCTAACCTCAACAGGACCAGGAGAGAAGACTGGTAGGATCTGGGCCAGGAGGAGCCTTGTGGGGGCTGGAAGTGGGCGGGCTCCTCACCTGGGCGGAGCCCCATACTGTTGGCTCTGGCTCAAACTGGAAGGCCTTTTGGGGGCGGGGTTGGGGGAGAAGGGGTTAAGCGTCGGTGTCCACATCTGGGAGCCATTGGCGCATTCCTACCCGCTGAGCGCATGTTTGCGGATGGATCTGGACGGGACTGGGCGGGAGGGGCTGGGCGGGCAGTTCGCACCGGTGGACGGAAACCCAGACTGGAGCGGGAGACAGCCCCGGGCCAGCGGGCGGGAAGAGGCCTGGGGAAGCTTTGTCCCAGAGTCCAGCATAGGGCAAAATGGTCCTGGCAGCCCGGGACACAGTGTGCAGCCAACCCACCTTATCCATGGATTGGGGTGTGGGTGGGGGCTGCCTCAATTCTGATCTTGGCTCTGCAGCCTGTGAGACCTCGGATAACCCCCCCACCCCAGAGCCCAGGCGAGGGGCCTCCTGGCAGGTCTCTGTACAGTGGGGAGCCTCAGCCCCCAGGGTCAAGCCAAAAGTCTCACTGGGGTGGAGGCCTGGGAGTGTGGCACTTCCCTTTCTCACAGGAAGTCCTGTGGGGGCACTTGTGGCCACTTTTCTGCCAAGGAAGAAGGGGGGTGATTGGGGGAGGGGAGTGTTCTTAGTGATTCTGCGGCCCCAGCCCAGGACTGCTGAGGGCTGGGTCTGGTCCTCCCAACCAGAGCAGCAGGCCAGGAAGGGCTCCGGCTGTGTGGGGGCTTGGCTCCCGTGCAGCAGGACCAGGACTAGGAGCTTTCCTGTTTGAATTCTCATTTTCTAGCTCTAGCTGGGAGAGTCAGGGTCACTCCTGAGCGCCACTATTGGGAGATACAATTAATTTCCCTTTCAGGGGAGGGTCCTAGGGTGAGTGGGGGTGGTCTGAGGGGTTAGTTTGGAGCAAAATTCTTTCAACATACTCAAGCTGAAGAGGTGTTTCCGGAAAGAGCTGATGTGTGTGGGGGAGGTTGTGTGTGTGTGTGTGTGTGTGTTTGCAGAAAATTAAGATCTGAAAAGGGAAGTGACTTGCTCAAGGTCACATAGATCTCAGTCCCAACTGGTCCCGGAAAGGTTATAATTACAGCAGATAGGGGCTTGGCCGCCAGGTAGGAGTCAGTGTTCTTCCGCGTTAAAGTTTAGGTGGATCCCTATTCCCTGTGAGATTTGGCCTGAGCTTGGAAGTAGTGTAGGGTATCTCACAGGGCGCTCTGTTCTCTACCGAGTCCTATTTCCATTCTTTTCCCCAAAACTTAACCCTCTGCTCGCTTGGAATCTCCTGTTTGGGGGTTTGTGGGAAGAATTATCCCAGATTCCCACGGTCTCCTCTTGAGCCGGGAGCGGCTCCTTTAAGACTAGTCCTTCCCTGGGTCTATTAAGGAGAGGTGGGCGGGCGTGCGCCCCAGAGCACGCCCCTGTCTGGGGATTGGGCAGGGGGCGGGCCGGGGCGGGTCCGACCGAGAGGGCCTCCCCCTCCACCCGTGCTCCCTACCCTCCGCCCCCCTGCAGTCTGGGGCTCCGGGTAAAGTTTCAGCCTCCGCACGTGACTCGCCATGGCCGCTGCCGTCGCCCCGCGCCCCTGAGCCGCGGCCCCCCGGACGGCCTCCCTCCTGGGATCCCGCACCCCTGATGCCACACTGCAGCCTCAAGGTGCCGGGTTAGGGCGGACACCGTATCCGCGGGAACCCCGCATGGGTGGCGTTCCCGTGCTGCGAGGTAACCTCTCCTCGGGGGATTTTGGGGAGCCCCTGGGTCCTGCATGCATCGGGGCTCGTGGCCTGCTCCTGATGGGAGCTGCGGGTGGGGACCGCGTTCCGGGCGGGTTCCAAAGGGAACCCGGGCTTTCCTGGGCTTCCCAGCCCGCCGCCGCCGCCACCACCACTACCGCGCGTCCAGAGTGGGGGAGCCCCGTCTTTGCGTCTGTCTGCGCCTTCGCGCGCAGCCTGGAGGCGGCGGGGTGGGGGGATCCGTCTGCTGCGCTTGTCCCTGCCGCTCCAGCCGCTCGGAACTCCTGCTTTCTTTTTGAAAAACAAGCAAAAGCCAAAAAAAAAAAAAAAGACTTTCAAACCTGTTTGGGGAGAGATCAGATGCCCAACGGACTAGACCCCTCCCACACTCCCTCCTGTTATCTGAGCCGCCCTGTGGTTTGGGGGAGAACCAGCCTGGGGAGTCCACCCCCACCAGACGGAGCCGGCTGGGGGGCGGGGCCGCTTCACTGCTGTCCCCCACTGTGGCGGCGGCGTGAAGGGAGCCGTGGGCAGGATGGCATGCAGGATCCAGGGCCGCGGGGGTAACGGGACGTCCCCGGGACTCGGGGCTCCCTAGTGTTGTGGAAGCTGCTGAGGCTGAGGGGAGGACAGACCAAACTGTCCGACCTTGCACTGCGGAGGGTGTCTGGGACCTAGTGCCACCCACGAGGCTTGGAAGCTGCTAGCCAGATGTGTGTGTTGGGCTGGGGTACGTGGAGAGGGGGTAGGTTGTGCTGCAAAAAAAAAAAAAAAAAGACAAGCTTGGTTCTCTAGGACTCTGCTTCTTGGGTGCTACCGTGGTGCCAGTCTGTTAGGTGGGAAGTGGTATTATGTGTATGTGGGGGGGGGGCACTGAATACTAGTTTGGCGAGTCGCTGCTGGCTCCAGGTCACAGCTGAAAGTGCTCCCCAGCTTTGGAGCGTCTCTCTCCACCCTCCATCAGGTCTTTGGTAGAATGCTGAATGTGCTGGGGAAGGTACCTTCTCTCCCCACACCTGGTGCGACTCCTTCTTCCATAAGCCCAGATTGGCTTCTGCCCACTGGCTACGTGCACGTGTGTGTGTGTGTGTGTGTCTGTGTCTGTTTTTGGAGGAGATTGTTCCAGAGAACACTCCCCCACTGCCCACCCCCTGCTGCTTACTCCAGCCCTTGCTTGCTTCTGCTCTTGACCACCCCCACACCAGTGGGGGCCATCCAGGGATGTCTCTTACCCTTTTTCTCATGGTAAGATTCAGGCTTAATCAGGCAGGATTGTGTGGGGGAAGTGGTTTGGTAAGGAACCCCGCCTAGGTTTTGCTAGAAAATTGGGGCTCAGGCCTCAGCCACTCCTCCTAGGGATTAGTGGAAAGGGGCGGAGGGGAGGCTGGGTCAGAAAAGGCCCAGATTGGAGTAGGGGGGTGGCTTGGCGCCTTGGGGCTTCCCCTGGAGGGGAGGGTGTTTGAGATGAGTTCAGGGAACAAAGGAAAGTAGTTGGAGTAGCAGGTCGTGGTTCTGCTGGGGGGAGGATTGTTGTGGAGTCAGGGTGCATGGGGAGTGGCTACTACCTCAGTCCTGCTTGGGAATCCTGGCCTGTGGTGACCTGAAACAGAGAGGTCAGTAGGGTCAGGCTCCAGTAGGCCCTTGGGAGCTGAGGAACTTGGATTTGCAGGGACTCTGAGTAAGTGTGCCCGTGGTGGCTACTGCAGGGCTTATACCGACAAGCTCAGGAGGGAACATAGTAGCAGCAGTTCTGAAAAGATGCTGGGTTTGGAATGGGCTCATCTTGGCCACCCCCTCCGGTTGCCCCAGATCTCTGCCCCTTAAGTCAGACCCTCAGTGCCCCCCTAATGGCACCCTATAGTCCCCCCTCCTACTCCTAGCTATGGTGCAGCTTGGCAGGAAGCTAGCTGTCGGCAGCCCCATCCTGATTACCCTGTGCCTCCCCCGTGGGCACAGTCACCCACACGTGCCATGACGTTGTTGTTCCTGCCACCCAGTCTAGTGTGTATTGGTGGAGTGGGGGGGAGATGCATTGTCTGGATGACCCTTCAGGTCTGTTTGGGAAACAGTGACCCAGTTTGCAGTTAATCAGCTCCCCATCCTCTAAAGCCATTGGCTTTTTGAAACTGGCTCTGCCTTCTGGGAACCCCCTTCCCAACCTTGGGTCACCTCTTGCCCAAACCGTAGGGTCTCTGATGGCCTGGTCCTCCTAGCTTCCATGTGCAGATCCCTGTACCTCAAGACGGTTGAACGGGGCAGGACTTGGAAGGGTGGGTGGTCTGGGGACCTCGTGGGATCTTTCTGGAAGCTGTGTCTGGGATGTGACGTGATGGACATCTAGACAAGTTAATCCTATAAATGGGGTAATCTCCACTCGCCTATCACCCACACCCCTGCCTGGTAGTGGTGATTTTCAGAGTGTGGGAAGCTGGCATGGCCCTTGGCGAGATGACTGGGGTTGTCTTAATTTACTGGGTTTTGGGAAAGGAAGTGTGGCAACTGATACCCAGGCTCCCAGGGCTTTGGCTGCACATCCTCTCTGACGCCTGCTGTCTTTCCTCCTGCTGCTCCTCTTTCCACCCTCCGGCTGCTGTCTGGAGCCCACACGGGTTTGTGGGGGAAGGCAGGGTGGTGGGGGGCAGGGCCTGCATCTCCGTGTGTGTTCGGGAGTGTTCTGGGAATTGGCAGGATTGGCTGAGGGTGTCTGGGTGTCCCCTGCAGGGTGGGTGGCATGTAGAGACCTGGCCCACAGTGTGAGAATGTGTCAGCGTCGGTGGGTCTGTCCCCAGTTTCCTTGCTTCATCTGGATCTCGCCTCCCGCCAGCTCTGGTTCTGGTCCTTCCCTCCTCCCCTTCTCCCGCCCCAGCTGGGACCGCCTGCTTACTCTCCCTCTCTCCCCGCAATTGGAGCCTCCCTTGCCTGTTCCTGGAATTTGGAAAGGAGGAGGAAGAGGCAGGCAGACAGACCTCCCACACTCTAGCCCGCCTGCCTGGCATCGTGGGGAAATGAAATAGGTGCTATGGAACTAAGTTTTCCCTGGCTTCCTCAGACCCTCCAGCACACATCACCAGGGCTGGGGGCCAGCTCTTAGAGAAGGTCCATGGGCTGCCTATTCCTCCAGACAGCAAAACCACCTCCTGCTTAGCATCATGTCCCACAGGGCCCCTGCTGGACCTTCAGGCACCACTGTCAGTTGGGGAGCTGGAGGGGGGATTAGGCTGCTGCCAGCCTGACCAGCACCTGTTGCCAACTCCAGTCCTGTAACTGGAGCTGGCCAGGGAGAGGGGCTGCAAAATGACAGGTGGAATTTCTGCAGTCAGGCAACCCCTGCCCCTCGACATATGCCTTGTTCTTCTGGCTTGCAAGAGAGGAAGCCTGCCCCCCTCCACCCCTGCCACCTTCCCCAGAGTCCACCTGATCTCGTGGGTGATGACCCTCCCCTGTCTGATGACTTCCCCACCCCCTACTCTCCATCATTGGCTGCAGAGCTCTGCTGCCCCTAGAGGTGGGGGAGGGGAGAGGGGTGGTGAGGGTGTGTGGATGGGGGTGGTTTTCTGTTAATGTTTTAATTGCATAAAAACTGGGAGCTCAGTTCCAGGCCAGTGGGGAGTCTAGGTCTGGCTGGCCGCCCGGTTTGGGCTAAATATAGTCTGGGACATCTGCAGAGAAGGGGAGGGGGAGACGGAGGGAGGTTCCATTCCCCCTACCTCTGGCCAAGGTGCCCTCCTCTGGGCGGGCACCTTGGAGCAGGGAGGGGGGATTCCTCAGCACAAAAGGCAGGGGTGAGGCGGCAAGGGCTGGGCACTGGGAGGACCTTGGCTGCCTGGAGGCGGCTAGGCGCCTGAGATGAACCCGGAGGCTCAGCACAAGGAGTCGAGTGTGCAGGCAGGTGCCTCTGGCTCTGTTCCCTCTCCCCCAGTGTTGCCTGAGGTCAGACCGTCTCCATGTGTCCCTGCGCCCATCCGGTGGTGTGTCACCATGACCCACTCGCTGCTGTGTGTGCCCGTCTACCTTGGAGTGGCTTCCTCCTGGCCCTTCTCCCATCCTCTCCCTCCCAGTCTCTCTCCTCCTACCCTAGGTCCCCAGCCCTCCTTCCCTCTGTCCCTCGCCCCACAGTGAAACCTTTAGCCCAGGAATCGAGACTTGAGAAGGGGAAGCTGCGGTCGGGAGTTCTGTGATCTCCAGTCACGGCAGGAAGTGGAGAGGAGGGGGGCTGAGGGGGGACCGTGAGTGGCAGGTGAGGAGGGAGGGCCTATTTGCCCTGCCACCTACGAACAGCCCACTTAGGTGGAGGGTGACCACCTTCCCACTGGCCCCCTTCCCTCCAGTGGAGAAAAGTGAGGTAGATAGCCAATTCCTCAGGCTGCAGAATAATCTTCACCTTCCCCCCAGCACTAAGCAAAAAAAAAAAAAAAAAAAAAAATCTTCCTGTCACGTGGTCATCACTTCCCGTCCCACTGTGGTTCCAGGGATGTTTGTTGTTGGTTGCCATGGTGATGACCACCGTTGGCACTACCCTGGTTCTTGGAGCCGGCCCTCCCCCCCTACAGCCCACAATTGTTGGGGGGGGGCCAGGGGCCCTCTCAGGCTGTGTGTGGTCTCTGATGCCCTAGATCCCTTGGGGGGGGCATCCAGACTTCTGTGTGAGTCACAGCCACCTCCTCAGACTGAGGCCTGGGGGACTGTGCCCGTGTCTGGCTGTGCCTGACTGTGCGTGTGACTGTGATCTGACTGACTGCATAGTCCTCACTGTCTGGGCCCCAGACACCGCACTTTGTGTCCTCCTCTGATGGCTGGAGAGCACGCTCCTGTCCCGTGTCCTGATGGAGACCACCCTCACCAGAGAGGGTGGCTTCTCTATGGTGCCGGCCGGAGTGTGGAGGAAGTAGGGAGCTGTGCATGCCATTCTCCCCACTACACCCAGCTGGAACCAGCATCTTCCCCATTCCACAAGCCCTGTTCTTTAAGGGGAAGGTCATGGGGCTCTGTGACCCAGCCTGCCCACTGTGTAGGCTTTCTTGATCAGGGAGAAAGATGCCCCTTGCTTCTAGACACCCCCATCCCACCCAGTAGTGTGTGGAGTAGGAAGTTCCTGGGGGGTTGATGGGTGTGTATGTTGGGGGGTAGGGGAGGGGCACTGTATGACTCAGGCCCGGTCTGGGGTGAGAGCCAAAAGGATATCCTGAGGCAGGAGGGGGGATTGTTCCTGGCTTCCCTGCAGCTTGGGTCCCCTGGGAAGGCTGTTGGGAAGGCACTGCCGTCTCGGGGTGTGGGGCTGGGTGGAGTGGCCAGCTGGGAGGTGTCTGTGGCCAACCTGGGCCCCCGTGGCCACCATGCACTGCTGTGGGTGTGCTCTGCTCTCTGCCTGGCAGAGGAGGGGAGGCAGTGGTAAGGCAGGCAGCTGCCAAGGTGAAGGTGGGGAAAGCCCCGTGCCAGGCTGAGTATGAGAACGGTGATTTCCAAGCTGGGGGGGGTCCCCTTTGGTCCCTGCTCCTCCTCCCCACGTCCACGCGAACACGCGCTACACACACACACATACACACACATACGGCTGCCTCTGTTTGGTCCGCACACTTCTGTGGTCTGGCTGTGGCCTAGGCAGGCTGGTCTCTTCCTCTTCCTGTTTTCTTCCTTCCCTATGGGTTGGTCCCCCTCCTTGAGGCCTGGACTGCCCCATGCCCTTTCACCTACTCCTCTTTGCTTCTAAAGCAAGACCCCGTGGAAGGCTTCAGCTGTGGTTCTGGGTGGACTACCCCGCTCCCCTTGCCCTGAGCCATCTGAGCTCTGGGCATCTTGAGCAGAGGTTTCTGGGATGCCATCCTTTGGGGGTACAGAAGGTGGGCAAAGTACCTTCCCAGAACAAGTGCCCATTGCCTCTCCCTGTTACCTGACCTGTCCTGGGCCTGGGTTGTCTCCAGTTGTCCAGTTACTTCTAAGATGGTGGTGTATGTGGGATCAGATAGTTCTGTATAACTGGGGTCCAACCTTGGGCTGGGTAGAGGAGTAACAGAAGATGCCTTTGTGTCTCAACACACGGGCAGCGATAGCACCCAGAAACAAGATGCTGGACTTCGGGGCCTTCCCTGGCCTCTTTGAGGGTATGGCTGAAGACCTGCTGGGGCTGATGTTCATATGGGCTCCAGTTCCAGCAAGGCAGGTCTGGTGGAGGTGAGTGGGGGTGCAAGGTTCTATCACGGTGGATGCCCCCACCTGTGCCAGCGTCTCCCAGGGGATTCTTCTCCAGTCCTCCTAGGGTGGTCTCTTTCAAAATGAGGCTGGGCTTGCCTGCCTTCCTGTGGTCCTGGTCCTGGTGAGCAGATGGGAAACAGAGAGCAGAGTGGCAGAGTTGTGGGCTTGCCAGAGAGGAAAGGAGCGAGAGCCTCAGCCAGGGGCGATGGGGGGGGGGGCGGCTGGAAAAAGGGGAGAAACGGGTTAGTAGTGGTCATCACTGCTCTCTCATCTCAGCAGATCTGCCGCGCATGGGGGAGGGGCAAGGTTGTGGTTAGTGTGTGCATGAGTCTGCTTTCCTGGAAAGTTTATAAATAGTTCCAGCCCACTGTTCTAGTTTGAAATCTGTCTTGCCCCGCCCTCCTGGGCCAGCTCCTGGGAGGGTAGGGGTCCAAAGGCGGGGACAGGTCTTGGTTACTGCCAGGGTTAGAGTCCGTCCTTACCCAAACTTGTGCTCTGGGTGGCATTTGCATATGATTCACTAACTGTCTCTATTGCTTAGGAAACCCCCGTCTCCCCCTTTTCTGAGTGTCCCCAGTCCTTTGTCCCCTTCTCACAGCCCCTCCAGGACTGCCTGACTTCTGTTCCTTGGGAACCACCACTGTTTGAGGGAAGCATAGGGCAGGCCTGAATGAAGAAGAGGGGGTTTAAGCCTGCTGGGTGTGTCAACCCCCTTGCTCCTCTCCTCTGAGAATAAGAGAAAATGGTCTTATTTTTCTTCCCCCTCGCCCCTCCCCAAATCCAAAGGTTTCCCTTTTTTGGTGTGTGAAATGAAAAGGGAATTTGGGAAAGGGTTGTGGTCACATCTCCGCCTACACCTCAAGTATCCTTCTCCCCACATCCCTTTGCTTGTCTGAGGGGAAGCAGACCCTGGGAAATGGGTAATCCTCCCTCTGGCCCTGCCCACCTTTGCTAGCGCAGGTTGTGCTGGTGGGGGAGGGGAGGCAAGCAGCGCAAGCTGGGCTGGGGCCCCACAGTAGGCCCAGGTGGAGAGGAGGGGAGGGGGAAGGATCCCGATGGCCTGGGGCCTCCCACAGCCAGACTAGGTGCTTTCCAGGACTGCATCTGCAGTCGCACTGCGCTTGTGGAGGAGGTATGTGGCTGCCTGGCGAGTAAACAGATGCTTAGAGAGTTGAATGACTTGCCTAAGGTCACCCAGAGTGGCAGGGCTGAGATTCGACCCTTCACACCTCTGGGTTTGCTAGCCTCCTCAGGCCTCAGGCAGCTCTCACTTTTCTCTCTAGGTGTGTAAGTTGGCAGCTGGGGGACAGGATCCTGGCATCTTCCAGGGATGTGGGAGGCTTGCCAAGTTGGGGCACAAGGGCTCAGCGCCTGGGTAGGCCCTCCAACACCTGCCCCCCACTTTTTTTTTTTTTCCTGCTGTGCTTGGGCTGGGCTCTGCATGCTGGAGGTGCAGGCCTGTGGTTTACTATCAAGGGAGGGTGTCTGCGGGCAGTGGAGGTGGCTGGCACAGGGTGGAGGTGGGATGTGGGTAATTTATTTTCCCTCTCTTTGGTGCTGGTTTCAATTCTCTGACGGGGCCTTCTCCACCCTGGGGTGTAGCTACTGGGGCCCAGGTACGTCCCTGAAGGTCATAATTTCTCAAGTTTCTGAGGCAGGCCCCATGTTCTGTCTACCTCGCCCTGTTGTCCCTGCCTTTGCCCATCCCTGTTCTCTGGTCAACCTGACCCTTGGGCCTTGGCCCATTTCTGTGACCTTTACCCTCTCTGGCACTCAAGGCTCTGCACCCTCCCTCCCAGGAGATCAATAACTTTGCACTGAAGCTTGCAGGTTTAGCTGGGTCAGACTAGGGGAGGCTTCCCTAGAGGGAGGGAAAGTATTCTAACTTGTTGCACAGAGGTGTCCATTTGCTGGGGAGCTTGAAGTTTGGTCCAGTTACAAACTCCTCTGGGAGCAGAACTGAGCTGTTAAGTCTAAGGTAGCTGTGGTTATCTCTTATCTGGGAGCAAGGGGTAAAGCTGCAAAGGAGCCACGCAGGAGTGGCTGAGCCCATCCCCAGCCCAACCAGGAACTGGGTTAGGAGCTTGGGGTCGAGTGAGTGGCTTTCTGGGCCTTGTATTGGATCAGCTGCCCTGCTAAGCCTCACCTCTGAGGAGGAGGCAGTACTGTGTGTACATTTGCATTCGCCTGAGTGTTTGTGGGTCCTGGTGTGTGCTGTTGGGCACTGTATGTGGGCTGATCCATGGGGATGGCCTTGGAGTGTCATCCTGCAAGGGTGAGGGATTGTGCCGTGTGGCAAGCCAGGTGTCTGCAGGGGACTGTGGACAAGGGCCCATACACACAGGCCCTTAGCTGTATTCATTGTGTGGAACCCAGGTGTGGAGAGATGCTATCTGCAGGTTCCCTCTCCTCACGTGCATGCCTGCACACACACAGACTGGGGCTGCAAGCATGCTCTTGCCCACCCAGAGATGCTTTCTTTAGATCTGCATATGGGAGTTTCTGTGTGTGTGTGTGTGTGTGTGTGTGTGTCCAACTAAACATGGATGAGATTCAGCCAGTCCCCTCCCTCCTTTGCTTGGCTTTCCCATCTCAATTTCCTATTGTGAGGGGCCCCACAGGTGTGTGTGTGTGTGTGTGTGTGTGTGTGTGTGTGTGTGTGTGTGTGTAGGGGGCAGGACAGCAACTGGTCTGGTGGGTGGGGCCCCTGTTCCTCTGACATCAGCCTGGGAAGGAATGTGTTGGGAAGAGAAAGGGGCACCTCATTCAGGAGAGAGGCCCCATGGCTGTCAGGGTATACCGGTGGACATCATGGTCATTAACAAGGCCCTGAGGCAGCTGTCTTTTCACTGGCCCATACCTGCCCTTTTTTCCTCAGTCCAACATGGCCTGGCTGGCTGGCTAGCCCAGCTCAACTCAGCCCAGTCCAGGAGTTCTGGTCTCTTCCACAGTGGCCTGGGCAGGAGCTCTCCTCCCCCACCGTCCCAGCCCAGCCCTCCGCCGCAGGCTGGCCTTGTGTGGATCCCCTGAGCTCCAGGTTTGAGCCTGCAGCCTGGTGTTGTCCTGAGCTTGGGGTGCGGGCTAGGGTGGGGTAGGCGAGGATGTTGGTAAAGGTCATATCTTATTTTGGGTCTCTTTGACCCTGTTTTCTAACAGCCTTATTGAGATGTAATTCACATGTCATAAAACTCACCCATTGAACTAAATAAGTCAGTAGTTTTAGTACAGAGTTGTGCAACCACCACCCACAATCAACTTCAGAACATTTTTTATCACTCCAGACAGAGCCCCCAGGGTGTCAGCAGTCTCTTCCCATTTTCTTGCACTCCCCCTTGGCCCTCTCCCCCAAGCCCCTGCTAACATGAGTCTCCTTTCTGTCTGGGTTAGACTTGCTCCCTGTGGACCTGTCATGTAAACAGAATTCTGCTTGATCACCAGTAACTAGCGTTGGGTTTTTAGGTTTTGACCATGCTGTAGTGTGTCACTACTTCATTCCCTGACACGATACCATTCCTTTGGGACGATGCTTTGTTCACCAGCTGGCAAGATTAGGGCTGTCCTACCGTCTGGCCGCCGTGCCCCTTCATGTGCAGCAATGTTCTGTTGTCTGAGCTGTCACCTGCCAGTGGACTTTGCTGGGTCCCTGTGGGGACTCAGTTGACCCTTCTGAAGTGCTGCCAACATGTCACCCAGAGCAGCCATACCGCCTTACCCTCCCGCCAGCAGTGGTAAGGACTCCGCATTCCTACTTCCTGGCCAGTACTTACTACCTGTCTTCTTGATTATAACCATCCCGGTGTGTGTGACGTGCCGCCTCGTTTGGGTTTGTTTGTGGGTTTCTTTGTGTGTGTGTGTGTGTATTTATGCAGAACGTGTGCCTCAGAACAGATTTGAACTCTCCTCCTGTGACTCTCATCTGCTCCTTTGCTCTTGTCACTGCCTGCCTGTTCTCAGGGCCATGGGGTCTCTGGGCTCACATGTCTCTCTCTTTCCTGGTGTTAAGTATGTCTGCTGAAATAGGGTGTAGGGCTGTCTGCAATGCTGAGGTGGGCTTCTGGCCTTTCGTCTCTGCCTACCTCCTCACCTGCTGGGCATGTTGCTTCTGCTGACAGAAGTGTGCAGTAAACTCTGAGAGCACCCCCTCTGGCTCCGTCCTTGCCTGCAGATGGCAGGCCCCTGCCTTGGGAAGTCCCAGCCTTCCTGGAGCTGCCTCTGCACCATGAATGCTGTTGTGCTTTGGAGGCAATAACCTGACAGTCCTTGCTCTCCATTTCCCTGTTGGTCTATGTGTGCGTAGGCTTCCTCCCCAGGCCTGTGGGACCAACCCATCTTGAGTGCTGGGGCTTGGATTGGGGGGGGAGGGAAGTGGTGTAAGAAGTACCCCCCCACACCATCTAGCAGTCATTTTTCTGAGAAGTGCCAGTGCTTTAGGGAAGCGGCTTGTCCTCCCACTCCCTCCTCCCTCCCCACCAGCAAAGCACACGTTCCCTGCATCTTGACCTCAGGTAACCTGCACTGGGGGAAGGAGGCCAGCTGCTGCCTTCTTGGGCCGTGCTACTGTAGGGTGGCACCGTGGACCCCTGCCCCAGGTTTATGAGTAGCAGGCCTTCCAAGGCTCTGGGCTCTGTCCTGCCTCCCCAGCCAGGCTGTGCTTTCCTGCAACCCCCCTGCCGTGTCTGGGCCCTGCTCCCAGGCTGGGCCAACTCTGCCAGCCAGGCCCGGTGCCAGGCGTCTGCTCAGCTGGGGGCCACAGGAGGCTCTTGGGCCGCCGAGGTCGGGGAGCTCCATGGGGAATGCCCGAGTGCCTGCTTCTCAGAGTCTGCTCACCTGTCTTTCCTCTTTTCACAGTGTCACAAGACATGCCCCCCGCACCTGCCTAGCCGGGACCCATTCAGGACCAGCATTCTCTTTTGGCATCCTGAAAGCCAACTCTGGACCTTCCCAGGCAAGCTCTCAGAACTGTTTGACCAACGGACCGGCCTGTGGAATATCCCCAACCCACCTGGCCCCCAGCCGGGGGGACAGGGAGCTGCAGAAGACTGAGATTATTAGCCTGCTGACCAGGACAGAAGGGGGTGGGGTGGGCTGACCACCCAAACCCCCTTCGGGCCCAGGCCCCATGCCCCGAGGAGGGGCGGCCTGAAGCCCGCCAGAGCCTACACCGGACTGTTTGCCTGCCTTGCTGACGGTGGCCACTTGGCATGGCCAGCAATAGTAGCTCCTGCCCGACACCTGGGGGTGGGCACCTCAATGGGTACCCAGTACCCCCCTACGCCTTCTTCTTCCCCCCTATGCTGGGGGGCCTCTCTCCACCAGGCGCTCTAACCACTCTTCAGCACCAGCTTCCAGTTAGCGGATACAGCACACCATCCCCAGCCAGTAAGTCATGGGGGTTGCGGGGTCAGGGAGGGGGGCAGCAGGACTGGGGGCTTGGGCTCCAGTCACATGTGTTCCGCGGCATGTGTAGCGAGTAACTTTCATCCATACAGAGAGCACCATCACTTTGGGGGCCCAAGAATGGGAAGCGCGGGGGCTTGTGTTCCCAATCGGCCTGTTTGATGGGGGTGGGGTGGTAGAGGGAGAGATGGAAGTATGTATGCTGTTTTAGTCCGGGGTGCCCCTTGGGGCCCCTCTCTTGGGCTCTGCTGTTGAGGGCCTTATAAATAGCTGCAGGCACTGGACACAGAGGCCAGGGAGCAGTAAACAAACTTCTCAGCATTTGGTGGAAATGGCAGCTCTGCGGAGTGCGCCTCCGGCTTCCACCCCCATCCCCCACCAGCAGAGGCGGCACAAACCCACCCCTTACTTGGCCAGCCCTACTCCCCACCCCACTGCTAGGATGTGTTTCCCTTTAGCCTGATGGACCCTGCGAGCATTCCAGGAGGGGGCGCTCAGCTTGGATTCTGTCCTTGGAAGCTCGCATGGTCTTGGCAGGGTTTGTGTTTTCTTTCTGCCTCCGCCTGCTGCCATGGGGGTCACCCATTGGCTGGGCGGGGGTCTCAATAACCTTTCCTGGCTGGCCAAGCCAGGTAGTGGGAGGTGGCAGCAGCTATGGCCAGCTGGCAGAGTCCAGGCCTGGGGCCTGCCAGGCCGCTTACAGTAACTCTGGCCCCCAGGGCCCAGCTGGGCTCTAGGCCAGGGCTGGGGAGGAGGGAGCCGGGGCCTGGCTTAGGGCGGGAGGGGGTGGAAGCAGTCGAAAAGGCAACGGCCAGCCGCTGGCTGGTCAGCTGCTGACCTGTGAAACATGTCCCACCTCTTCTGGCCAACAGGGACTGAACACCCTGCCCTGGGCACCCACCACCCCCTCCCATGGCTGTTGGCAAGCCGCCTGGCACCACTGCCCTGTGTTCCCTGAGTCGGGCTGGGTCAGTGCCCCCTTCTTGGTGCGGGGGCAGTGCTCTCCCTCCCCGGAGCCAGGGAGTCTCTTTGTCCCTGGGGCAGGCCCTGGCCGGGCGCCTCACTGCCCACACTGGCCGCCTGCCCACCGCCACCACTGCTTCCTGGATCTCTGCCTCTGGCTCTGCTGCAGCCCCCTTCCTCCTAGCCCCGCCAGCTGCCAGGAGCAGGAACTCCATGTCTGTGTTCCATGAGCTTCCCATCCTATATGCACCCCCTTCTCCTGGGTAATGGTAATTTTTTGGGGGGACAGCAGGGGCTGCCTCAATTTCCCCCGCCATCTGGTTTCAATCCTTCCATCTGTTTGCTCTTCTCCTCACCTGGGAGTGTGAGGCTGATGGAGGCTGGGAGCTCTGCCTTGGGCCCACTTGGGGCTAGTGGTGGCAGAGACCAGCCTCTGGGGTGCAGGTTTGCTGGGGTGCAGGTTTGTGAGAGCATCTGAGTGGAATCCTCACTCATGGCGTTTAAAGGGACTGAGATTCCTATTCCAATCTTGGGGTCCTGGAGCCCCAAGGGCATCTGCTTCCTGCCAGGGGAGGAGCCGGAGCCTGCCACCTGGTGCCTGTGGACCACTCGTGCTTCCACTGGTGACTGACACAGAGCTGCCACACACTGCCCACCTGGGGCCAGTGCAGGGTGGGACTGCTAGGACCTGGCCCCAGTCTTCGCCTCTGCTGGGCTAGATGAGCAAATGCATGACCCTCCCCTGAGTGTTGCAAACTTCTTCCTCTTTCCTAGAGTTGGGTGGAGAGAGCTTCCCACCCTGGTAACCTTCTACCCCCCCCAAGGGTGGGGTGCCCACATTTCAGGCAAGTGTAGCCTTCTTGGCTTTCCCCACCCAGGTTAGGCAATGCCCCTTCCGGCCCCTTCCCCTAGGAGCTCCTCCCTCTCCATAGTAAACAACAACTCTCACAATCTGCCTCTGAGGACCTAGGACCAGAGATGCTGAGGGAGACAAGCATCTCCTTCCCTCCAGTTAAAAAAAGTTTGTCACTCAGCCTGTTAAATAAATCAATAAATGGAAAAAAGGGAATGTGTGTGCTGTGGGTTAAGCCACTGCTTGTAACGCCTATATCCCATATACCAGATCACTGTTTCAAGTCCTGGCCAATCCGCTTCTGATTAAGCCCCCAGCTAATGCATTTTGGGAAGGCAGCCCACGGTGGTCCAAGTCCTTGGGACCTTGTCACCTGCGTAGCAGACCTGGATGGAGCTCTTGCCTCCTGGCTTCAGCCTGGGACAGACCCTTCCATTGCAGCCATTTGGGGAGTGAACCAGCAGATGGAAGATCTTTTCTCTCTCCACATGTCAGATGAATAATTTCTCTAAATAAAAAGTTTCTTTTCATCTACTTGAAAGGTGTGTGGGGGGATCTGAATGTTCCATGTGCTGTTTTGCTCTCCATATGCCTGCAATAAACCAGACCAGACGTGTATGGAAGAAAATGGTTGGATTTCGAACTTGCACTTGAATATGGGATGTAGGCCCTGCAAGCGGCAGCTTAACGTGCTGCATCACAATGTCCACCCACTCCCTTCCTTCTTGTGCAAGGCCCCTCAACTTCTAGGAAAGAAGGATAGGCCAGCCACAGAAATGGGGGCAGCTCGCCTCCTCTTTGCAGGGGTTCAGGCAGTCCCTGGGAGAGTGGAAGTGGGTCGCCCTTCATCCCTGCAGGGAAGAGTGGGGTGCTTTAGTCCTGTCTCCTCACCCTTCCCCATCTTGTGGGAGTAGTCCCTCCTTCCCCCTCCTCACCCTCTCCCCAGGTGGGAAGGAGATAGCACCTTAGCTGTCCTGAGGACATGGGCAGCAGAAAGCCCTTGTTCTCCTGTCCCTGAGAAGGGGGGAGTATTTGCCCTGCCCCAGAAAAGGGACTGGATTGCCATTTGTGCCCCCAGCAATAGCCCCTGGAGCACGGCCTCTAGGGCCTGGTGTTTACTTTGCTGGTTTGCAATCCTGTGTGCATTGTGGGGAGGGTCAGAGAGGTGTGTGTTTTAGGGGTGGGGGGGGTCAAGGCTGTGTGTGTGTTGGGAGGGTGTTAATGGCTTGTGTGTGTTGGGTGAGAGGGTCCACTTGTTTGGGGAGGATCTAGAGCTGGGAGCGGCCTAGGGCGGGACAGGATTTAGGGCCCTAAGTTGTAAGGGAGGGGGCTGTGTTCAGTTTGCTTTGTTAGTTTGGCAGTTGAGTGTCTCTATTTCCTATCACTCTGGCTGGAGGGAAGAACTAATCTGGTTTTTTTTTTTTCAAAGTCTGGCGAAGGGTTGTGGAATAGGTATTGTAGCTTGGGTTCAAACGTGGACAGTTGAACCCCTTACTGTGTCTTGAAAATCCCTCTGAGAGGCCCATTTCCTCATTTGCAAAGCAGGGATATGAACAGAAGCTGCTCGAAAGAGCTTACAATTAGGCAAGATCATCACTGCGGTACACTCTGGGACCAAGGCCCTCGGCAGATGGGAGCTGGAGAGAACAGGGCAGGGAGGGGGTCCTCTGTTTTTAAAGATTTATTTTTATTATTTTTTTATTGGAAAGGCAGATATACAGAGAGGAGAGACAGAGAGGAAGATCTTCCGTCCGATGATTCACTCCCCAAGTGAGCGCAACAGGCCAATACTATGCCGATCCAAAGCCAGGAGTCTCTTCCGGGTCTCCCACGTGGGTGCAGGGTCCCAAAGCCTTGGGCTGTCCTCGACTGCTTTCCCGGGTCACAGGCAGGGGAGCTGGAAGGGAAGTGGGGCTGCCGGGATAGAACCGACGCCCATATGGGATCCCGGGCGTGCAAGGCGAGGACCTTAACCACTGTGCCACTGCGCCACTGCACCTGGCCCGGTCCTCTGTTTTAAAGGCCTTAATTTCTACAGTCCTGGGAGAGGGACGTTACCTCACCCCGAAGAGGAAACAGGTCTGGGGAAGTGCGGCAGCAGCCGGGGACTGATGGGGGCTGTTTTCCACTGTTCCCATAGGCAGTTTTGCCCTGGGGCTCCTGGTATGCCCAGTCAGGAGAGGGTTTAGTGCCAAGGCCAAGAGGCCCCCTCTCCCCTATTGCTGAGGTTCTGCCCGCTGCCACGGGAGGGGAACAGGGAAGACCCCCAAGCCACGCCCCCTCCTCTGTGTTTTGAATCCTGCAGGCTGAGGGAGAGATAAGAGGCCTGGGCCCTATCAGCATCCAGAGCTGGAAGCTGTGGATACAATCTGTCCACACCTCTCCCGCCCTGCCCGAGGGATGCCCGGCAGGCCCCCTTCCCCCACCTGCAGACAGGCCCTGAGGGAACAGAATGTAAAAGCCACATTCTTAGCCTCCAGTCTGTGTGGTGGAGACAGGGAATCCAGAAGCCATGGTAGAAGAGATTGGAAAGAGCAACCTCAGATTTTCCCATCTAACCATCAGCTGTGTGCACCTAGAGAACAGGCTGTGGCCTGAGGGTTGGGGTGCAGTCTGGCAGGAGATGCAGCCGAGAGGCGAGACTTTTCCTTTGCCACTTCTGTCCCTGTGTAGTCTGTGTGTCCTCTGTCCCTCTCTTCTTTCCACTGTATCCCTGGACAGCCAGAGGGACAGCCCAAGGGAAGGGGATGCTGCCAAGCCCAACCTTTCCTGGGGTCCAAAATGCAGTCAGCCAAGAGACAAAAACCTTGGGAGTTTTCTGTGAAAATGGGTACCTACACCTTGCCATCTCCCAGCATACATCAAGTACAGACCCCCCCCTCAGGCCAGGAATTGGGCATGGACTGGGTGAGGGGACCTGGGGGAGAAAGCCTGTTCTCGGAGGCCTTGCGTCCATTGCATGCCAGCCATGGTTGTCCTTGGAGGCCCTGTTGACTGCACTTTGCAGGGTAGCATCCGAAGAAAGAGGAAGTGGTTGTCTTCTGTCAATCATTTTAGGGTGACGCCCTCCTTCTCTCCCTCCATGGCATAGTGGGGTACAGCCAAGATGGGTCACCCTGGAGACAGACTGGAGGCCACTCAGCTCTGGCTCGGCCAGAAGTAGAGG